ATAGCAATGTTGTTTTGGTAGGCGAACATTAGATTAGAAGTAAGATTACATTATCCTGCGTGCCCAATTATATATGTACAATGGGTGGTATGGGATCATGAATAGTTAAAAAGATATGTACTATGAGTTTTGATAAAACGGACTTGCCCAGGGAATTTAGGTAATGTCCGCTCCATTATGGGGCGAACTAAGAATGTCGCGGCCACAATGCGAATTAAATTTAAAAGATTTAAGTCCACCTTTGGACTCAGCGTGTTTTGTAAAACTAGTGTGTCTTTATCAACTTTACCAAGTATGTTTATGCCCACGCCATAAAGGGGGGGGGGGGCGGGGAGGGGGCATATAGGGTTGCCCAAGGGTTGCCCATGTTCGTCCCTTCCCTTCCCGTCGTGTCCCGTCCCTTCCTGTTGCGTCGCGTCCCGTCCCATGAGCGGGGGCATTTATGTGTCTACATACATTTTCTAGTTTAATCATTTATTTTTCTCGTTGCTTAAGGTTACAAGATGATAAATATAGATTCATCTGGAAACGATTAAACAACATAAACTCCGAAGCTGTAAATCTCATCCTGCGATCCATTAAAAGGCAAGCATGTGGGTATGTGCCTGTATCTTCTACATGTAAAAAATCATAGACGTTGACAATAAATGTGTTTTTGATCTAATAGAAATGCATGTCGTTAAGTCCATTCGATAACACAAACTGTAAAACGCGTGTATATTAACGATATTTCGCCCCATGTTTTGCTGATACATATGTATATACAGCGAAATCAGCACTTTCAACATGTTTCATTGTCTACGTTGCAGAACTTTAACAGCCTGTAGACCATAAGTATCGATATCCCCATCCCTTCCACTTCCCTACCTGCAAAGTCCGTATATATGTATATTCAATGTATATTTATATATTCAACATATATTGCTCTACAGACAAGGATTAATATGCATTAATATTTATTCCAACTATCTTTTATTAAAACTTTAGTGGTCGGTTAATCTTAATGATCTTCAATATACCATTATCACATATCACCAGAAAGTGTGTTTTCCCCTCGTTCTCGTGATATTATTCATAACAATTTCCCTAGCCGCAATATTTACAGTGGCTTTCTCAACAATGGACTTAGTGAAATCCCCCTATCTGGCAAAATCATCCCGACATCGTACAATCGGCTATTTAAAAAGGTAGACATTTGCACGTATCACCCAGAGACGATGAGAAATGGGCCTGTGTGATACCATGATATTATTCACATTACTTTGTGACCGGCTTGGTGGTAAAATGAAACCGAGGCCTCAAGTATCAAATGTTTCCACGAGGAAACGAACAACTCAATTAAGAGAATTCGATAGTCTAGGTCACGTGAGTTATCTTGTAGACAATGGAATAAACATGAAAGTACATTCACTTAACATTGAATACTAGTTTAGGAATGTATTGTACCTTGGGATTCGGAAATGTTGAGGAGCAGTCTTCGTTTATCCCCCCCCCCCCCCCCACCTCCCTATACCGACTTTTCTCACCCTCGTACGTTGCATATTCCACCACAATCTACGCACATTATTTTTTTCATAAAACAGAAAGAGATCGCGAGCAGGTGAAATTCGAAGAAAGGCACCTTCATCTATGACCATATTATGAAAATGATGACAATTTCAGATTTTCCTCTTTTTGCTGAAGATGTTGTCTACCTCTGTGATGCGTTTCTCTTGTGCGATCGATTTTGCTTCTGTTTCTGCCTCCTAGATGTTGACACGTTGATTGTCCTCGTAGTTCTGGTGCGATTCACGCGGTTCCGCTTCTTTATATGTTTGACACGCTTCATCCTCCTCCATCGTTCTACAGGAACGTGCGGTTGCTCGTCCTCGATGACCTTCTTCATTTCCAAATTTGGCTCTGTCTTATACTGCTTCCATGGGTGTCACATGTCTGCCCTCTATGCGTTTTTCTTCGGGTTCTTTTGTCACATGTGGGTTTACGGGTATCATGTAAGGTTTCTTCGACTACATGTTTGCCACACCACCTCAAGTGTCACTGTCACGTCACCATCCAGTTCCCTGTCAAAGTGAAAGGTCTCGGAAGGTGTACCGTGAAATCGTAAGGCTGGTTATCGGAATGCACGAACTGTGTGTGAAACTTAAAACCATGCGGACGCTCATCCTGTCGTCGAACGAATGGATTACTTTGTGCAATACGACGTCTTTTAAACGTCTTTATCCACGAATTGAATTTCTTTGGCCGGTGCAACCAAGACACCGGGACTTCCGTTTTACCTTTCACTTTTCTCTCCTTGAGGACCTTGGCAACCATACAAATCTTGTCCTCTTCCCTGTTGACTTTTTGTAATTCCTGTTCGTAATGCGCCCCATCACGTAACAGAGGTCATAATTTGTTCAATGCCTCCGCCAGGAATCGAACCTGGGACTTCTGGCTGACTATTCTAACGCTCGACTGAAGGAGCAAAAGAGAAAATCTCGCTAGCCGAGTCGGTAGGAGGCGGCTAGTATTATATCAGGGTAACAATTATAACGACAAAGTACCTCGTTATAAAGACTAAATTAAAACATATCTATTTATGCGTATATTTTTATTTAGATGATTAATACTTCATCATTGCTTCACCTTTGTTGATTGCAATAGGACTGACCTAAACAAAACACGTTTTTCATTAATTCTCATATTAACGATGCTATGTATACAGTACACTTAGATAGGAAACTTTAAATCTTACCACTTCGCATTTTATCATATCCTAGTTTAGGCCATGTAGGGACGTGTTCGTTGATTTCCATAGATAATCTTAATGGTTATTTACGTTAACTAGTTCAGCCGAGATTGTCATGTATTGTTACGCGGTTTATTACCTGGCGTGCCCTGCTTTCCATTTCAATAGCCTTAAGCATGGTATAATTTATGAAAATTGTACGGAATCACTTTTAAATTATAGCCTGGGTATTACGCTTGTTTATCATATCCCTGAGCATTCGTATTCGACACTTAGTTTTGTAGGGAGCCGCGGTGGCCAAGTGGTTAAGGCGCCTAACATTCGGCTACAACTAGCCCTCCACTCCTGGGTCGCGGGTTCGAGACCTACGTGGTGCGGTCGCCAGGTACTTGCCGTAGGTCGGTGGTTTTCACCGGTAACTCCGGCTTTGCTCCACCATCAAAACCTGGCACGTCCTTAAAATGACCATAGCTGTTAATAGGACGTAAAACACAAACAATGCAAAACAAATCCTAGTTTTGTAACCTATTTTTGCTCAGTTAATATATTGATAATAAAACGCATCGCGAAAAAGGCAACTTGTTTTGATTATATCTTATCTAACTCGCAGACATCTGTCACCCTGAGAAAATCAAGATTTTATCGAGGATTCCCTCAAATATGTCATAGCAAAATTAAAAGCGCGCGGCTATCTATTTGATTGGTCTTAGGTAAAAAAAATCCTGGCCAATCACTAGGCTGATGCTTGTTCTTTGAAGATTACAGAGGAGCGACACCCGACTTCAAAGCCAGAGAGATTTACCGTTACGCCACCGCGAGATTCTTTTGATGTACATCAATGGATCAAATTAGCCATCTCGTCTCGTCCACAAGGTGCTGCACACTGAGCCTTCGATTTTTCAATGACATTTTCCAGGGAGAGAGCGAAAGTGAACGTTGTCCCTCGATATCGAGGATGGAGAACATCCTATCTTGTAACATGTGGTATAGTTTAACCTTTCAACAACACACGTACATAGAATTACGTATACATGTCCTTTGGAGATCACTGTTATCCTGATTTGACGACCCTCCATTACTTATTATTGTGATACCTACATCGTATGACTGAATACTAAGACTGAATACTCCATTTATATTTAAGAAAGGCAAGTGTTTAAAGTGTTCGCATGGGAAGTGTGACTGTGGTCTGATAATGTTCCCGGTATCATAGCTTTCAGTGATCTTCACACAACTCCTGGAGGAGACATCATAACGGGGCTAAATGTGGTATACTCCTTCTAGAGTTGTTAGGGTATCTTGTCGTTCATATGCATGTTGGTATTTTTGCGGTTCTTTTCTTTCGTAAATTCGCTTGTTTTAGGGTTTGAGGGTTTGGAATGTTAACAATTGGTACGTCCTAATTGGGTTTTGGCTGGTGACATTGTGGTCCACATTTTAACTCAGTATTGAGAATGTTGACATACGGAATGAGACCCGTTTTGTTTTTTGATGTTGACATTGTTTTTTTGTTTTTTTTAAACAAACATGTGAGTAGCATTCTCTGTTTATTGTGTTTGTCGTGCATAAATGAAATCATTCAGTTGAAACTGTTCAAGTTTAGACATCAATTTTCAACTCGATGTGTATAATGTAAAATAGAAAAATACGCATCTATGATACAACTTCAACACCCAAAACTAACATCGAATGTTTACCTAAACATCCAAATCACAAAACCCTGCTTAATTGGGGGTTTCCTCTCTGTGTTCTTTAACATGGACAGTGAGGATACCAAAATCAATCCGCGGCCCCAAAATCAATCCGCGGCCCCCATTTCAATACTTTGGATCTATTTCTATTCAGCGGTGTCGCCCTAGACACTCCTTATCATGTGACATAAATTGTTTACAGGATGCCAAACTCCAAACAAACAATAAAGTCATCATATTCCCGAATCCTCGTGTCTGTCCAGAAGCCCATGACACGTTCAAGGTTGAGAACAGTTATATTTAAAATTATATTATGTGATTTACTTATGACGCCACTGCAATTTTTATAAATATAAATATATAGACATATCACACTATTACTTATCAATAATGAAATAGAACCTAACATTGTTCATCAATTACGTCGTGTTACAGAACAGATTAATTGTGTATATATTAATTCTAGTATGTATTTAACAATAAATATTTAATGCAATACATATTATTTCTGTAAAACGGAAGTCATTCAATGTGCTGTCTATAAAATTAAATCATGAAAGATAAACACAAGTCAAACTTACCTTTTATCAGAATCCCTGTCACACAGAAGTTAATCTTTAAAACACACCTGAGCGAGAGTGATCTTCTCACCTGACCAAAATTGACTATATCATGTATGTAAGACCGTCTGCGGATTTGTCTGGTCGGAAGTTCTGTGTATACAAATAACGCTCTATTTACTATTACCTTCCCTTATTGATCGTCGCCCGCCGTGTGTAGATAAGCCACAATGATCGATACCAAGGTCCTACACATATCTTATTGTGTCCACTACCCGGGCCTACACTCTCACCCTAGTCTATATATCTTATGCCAGGTTACATTATTTTCTCATTGTATACCGTATATAGGTATATTTAATATTTCCTTTATTTAAAAGAACTAAACATCCGTTAGAACGTTTATATTTGTAGGATTTCATTCTATATCGAAAGTTAGAATATTTTGTTCAGTGGTTCATGGGCTGTTATGTGTGTATCGTCCCGCGGGCGAATATTCACACAGTCACTTTACCTATATCTTGTTTACTTGTTTACGAGACAAGTTTGTTCCTGTAGCTCCCGGAACTATCTAATTTAGCCAGGCTAAAACCTTTTATCTACATTTCATGTACCAGTAGATGTAAATTGGGTAAGATTGTCATAAAGAGTTTGATATGCACCATTGCACTCGCGTCTTTACAGAAATACTGTAACCGTTGACATTTCCACTCGTGCCCTTTACATGTATCGTCCTAACGTTTAATTAGTTTTGCGGTGTAGAAAATGCTGCCTGTCAATGCATTCGCCCGTGCTTATTTAGAGCTGATTTAATGAATACAGAATTAGCAAAATATTAGCACATCGTAACAAAAATGCACTTTTACAGATTTACAGAACGAATTACAGAGTCTTTTGAAAAGATTAGCACGAACAAGGTGTGTAACGGATTTCTGTATAGTCCCCCTGTCCATATATTATTTACAGTAATTAAATTACCCAATAATTGAACACACGCGTTGGTTTAAATGTAGTAGGCTATGCCATACATATAGCAGAAGCTATCTCGTTGTGTTGTATTGCACTAAGACCAGTAATTATTATCTTATGAACTTGGTCCATTAACTCCCACCTAAATAAGATTATGACAAATTAACAAATATAATCTTTCTCCACCTTTGCGGGTAAGACAGAAAGTTCACAACCGAAGGGGTTATTTTCCTAAATGTCTAGCCCGAGACTTTTAAGAAACCTACACCGAAAGGTAATTTCTTCTGCATCATGTGTTTCTATAAATAAAATCTATATAATACATATATAAAAGGGAGGATGTAACAATGTGAAAATGTTAGGCTGTGATAAAATGTTTTTGATCAAATTAAGTGTTGCGCTGCGTATGTCGTACTGTTTGGCTATAAATGTGTTGTGTGCATTTTTGTACACGTGAGTCTGTTGTCACATGTCACTTGTCTTACCTTTGTTGCGTCCATATAAGGTAATTGTTCTAAACATAGGTGTTCCCTCGTTTTGGTCAGTGGTCAGTCCAGGTGTCTTTGTTACATGTTTCGGCGCGTGTTTTAGTATTCATTCAGACAGAGCTAAAGGGTGGATGTATATTATATCCAGGAGTTTCAGGTCTGTTTCCAGATCTGGTATGTACGACACAAAGATGTGACAAAGTCTTATTCTTTAAATGGTTTATGTTAAATTATTATATCAATGAGATTTTGGACAAAGTAGCATTCATTTTATAGTGAAATTGTACCTTTTATAAAACTATCAGAATCTTGATCTCACGTACATGTGTACTCAATCAATACATAGATAGCTCTTTTAAAAGTCATGTATATGTTTGAATCCACATGTAAACTGTGATTTACATATATCTTTTACAGCGATTACATACAGTTTTCTATAGAGAACGGACCATACAGATACAGATCATTCTGTGTAAACCCCTGACCCACAGTTGGGGTAGGTATTTTAATATTGAATATGATAATGTAAAAGAGTGCTAATTGATAAGGATAATTGTATTCAATATATGTATAAGTAATTTCTACTATTGATTATGATGAAGTCAGTCATTGTAAAGTTTATGTATTATTCTTATTTAGAATAACCTATTGTGTGTGAACGTATCAAATATGTATGCACTGAATGTACATCGTGTTAGGAATTATATGTAAGCGCTGTGTTTCATTTTCAGCTATCGTGCCTTTATTTAAAAAAGGTGATAAAAATGACCTCAATAACTATCGGGGTATAAGTCTATTAAGCTGTCTTGGGAAAGTTTTTACTGGTACAGTGAATAATCGATTGCTTTCATGGGCTAACACAAATGAAATTATTTCTGATGCACAATTTTGATTTAGTTTTGGTTATGGAACTTTTTGGCTTTACATTCTTTAATTAATAAGACATTCTCACAAAATAAAAGACTATATTGCTGCTTCGTCGACTACAAGAAAGCTTTCGATAATGTAAATCGATCTAATCTATGGCTCAAACTGTCAAAATGTGGTATTAGAGGTAATTTGTTATCAATCATTTTAGAGTGTTAAAATTTTGGTTGAAATTAGTACATAAATATATAATGATCTTATGGAAAGGTTAAATGTTAGTGATACATATAACTGGTTGAGAGATATTAAAAATGAACTGTATACTATGGGACTGGGTTATATTACGGACACTCAGGTGACAATAAATGTAAAATATGCTTTGGATATTATTAAACAAAGACTTTTTGATTGTTGTGTACAAGAAATAAGGAGTCAGATAGCTGAATCAACCAAATGTAGTATGTATAGACACCTTATATGTGCATAAAGTTTTGATATGAAAATTTATCTCAGGAAACCTATCCAATTCAAGTACAGAAAAGTCATTACGAAACTCAAAATGTCCAGTCACCAGTTGGAAATTGAGCAAGGTAGATATATAAATGTACCAAGGAATCTAAGAATCTGTAAATTATGCAATTCAGATATTGAGGACGAATACCACTTTGTGCTTAAATTTCCATCTTTTCAGATACTTAGACATATTCACATGGGAAAATATTATTGGTCAAAACCCAGCATGTTTAAATTCATCAGTCTTATGAACTCTAGCAATATATCTGAATTATGCAAATTTGGAAAGTTTCTGCACAAATCATTTATGTTGAGAGAGAATATGATGTATGAACCAACAACAAATGCGTTCTCCTTCAATACATTATTTTTATTAATTTTACTTTAACTAGTATATCATTTATGATGTACATTCATTCAAATACATGCCATGTATTTGTTTACACATGCAAACTGCCGCCCTGGTAAGCATGTATTGTATTTGTATGGATTGTAGTAATATCCTGTACCTATAAGTTGTAAACGTTTGGAAAATAAAATGAACATGAACCTTATGTAATCAATTGTATTGTGTCTTTGTGGTTTTTTTTGTTTTGCTCCACATATTGTGGAAATAAACATGTGAACCAAGAAATCTGCGTCGACTTAACTTTCATTCGACTTTACATGTATGCTCTTCTCCAATGAAATGTTCTATTGGGACACAGTTCGTGTTTCGCAATCAGATTGTGCTCCTTCCAGTGCATTGAATACGGTTGTAGACTTATCAGGTCCGTCGCTTATACTTCGACTGATTGTAACTGTAGAAAGATCAACGTCACCCGTGACGACATGAATCACCCTTTTTTATTTTCAGACATCATCTACAAATATAACATGACGAGGTCGAGCAATAGTCCGAATAAACTATCTCCTTATCAATTTCTATTCTCCTTATCAGTATAAATTCCGACATTTTTCAGTTACCTTATAAGAAATTATTGAATCGAGAATTTTTGAACGATTTGATTATATACAATCAGAGCTGTATGCAGAGTTCATCCGAGCTAAGACTTAAACTTGGTCTGTTAACAAAGACGCTCTCTTAATAGATTATCGTTATATAGTATGGTAAAATTACTTGTGGGGATGAGCAAATGGTGTTTCTTTAAAGGAGAGAAGTGCTCATTATGTGCGGTTTCTCAAACGGATTCGACTCTACCATATTAGACTTATGAAATGGTAGTTTGCTTATCTCCAACGAAATAAACCTATTAAATTGTAATCTAATTCTGCAGTCGATAACTTCATTCTTGAGTCCCTATTCACTTCTTACATGTCCACAATAGTCTCGTAGTTGTTCAGTTGGTCAATGAATGAATCAACGGGTCAATGGGATGCAGTATGTGGTACTATAAATGAGTTTCCATTCAGGGCATTGGGTTTCATCTCGGGTCTGATGCAGGGATTCAAGATGTTTTCCCTTTCGTTTTACCGTCTCTTTGGTTCTAGTATTTTTATATCAACCTAAATTATTGGGTGTTTTTTGTTTATGCGATGGTACAAGTATACGTGTCCTATGATTTATGTTTTATTTCTATGGTACTTTGTATTAACAAGATCTAAAGCGTGTGAAGACCCGGCAATCGTGGACAAGTCCTGTATGCTACGTGTATGAAAAATATCGCTAGATCTGAACCTTTTACAGAAAATCGGCAGAGAGGACATTATGCTATCAAACTTTATGGATAACGACAGGTCATCAAATACGGTCCGTTGTTCCTTAAACCAGGTTGATTGAACACGAACTTACCCTCAATCTGTCAGAGCCAAATTCGAACTTCCTCCTTGAAGCGTCAGCAATGCTTTCACGAAAGACTAAAAAGAGAAAAAGAAGATAGCTCGAAGGAAAAGAGCCATGACATTACATTGTACATATATTGATATATGCATATATTTCATAAAGATATTAGTGTCATAATAATATTTTAAGTAAAATGTGATTTTTTATCATCCCTGTTTTGCACCTGTTGTTTTTTTTATAAATTGTTCTTATGATATATGGTATTTTATGTTCACTGTAACAGTAAGTTCAGACCTCACTCGAATAGAAATCAGAACCAGTCAATACTTACTGGATATGTAGTGTCCCTTTTACAGATATATGTGTATGCAGTTTCTCTCATACGGATATAGAATAATATTTATAGGTTACTGTACGCTTTCAACTTCATTTTACACAAAAGTGGAGCTGATTTATTCACTGTTTAACCATATGTATGCATTTCGTCATCTCACTGCCTCTGCTGATAACTGGTTTTTGATCAATGTGACTAGTTCCTGTATACATGTGCACGTTTGACAGTATAATTCCAGCCTTCACGCCACTTTCTCGTACTTTTCTATACTAATCCGGCGTGGGATTCGTTTTTTAATGTGTGTTTTCTATAAAAGCTCTTTAATGTATACAACCTGAGAAAAGCCCTCTCCCGTACTCCTTTGACGTTCAGTATGATTTACATAATTGATTTACATGTTCGATTTTACTGGTATAGTTTGGGGTTATCATTACCTTTCGAGCACACACAGATATCAGGTTACAAGATACAACATCACGGTACGCCTGCACAATTCCTTAATGATAGTGAAACATCGATAGAGAAGTGTAGAGAAAATATGGCAAAGAAATTTATTTCGAGCTATATTAGGTCAACAAAAATGCTAAATATCATAGCGATAAGATAATCAATACATACTATCGGTTCTATACAATAAGTACAGGTAGGAGCCGGTGAAATATCCGTTTTCTGTGAAAGAAGTATGGAGAATATTAATTGAGTACCGGTAAGTAGAACGTGATTGACATAGAGTTGTTAACAACATTCTTATCAAAACACGTACTACTGACTGAAATATGCAGGAAGATAATTTAGATTGGGTGAAAATGTTATAAGACCCCGTCATTGTTACAGAAAGTGACTCTAGGATTGTACCTTATTCGTTCGTTCGTCTTTCCGTCCTTTCGTTATGAAATACATTGTCCACGACATATATCCTTTACTTTATCATCTATGTTTTTCTAATGTTCTTAAAGTATGCCATCATGGCATTTATTTGCAGGTAGATTTCAGAACCCTCACTTCCTTTATTCTTGTTGCCACGTTTTTCACAAACGTTAACATAGCTTCACCGATAAGTCATAGAAAGATGAAATAGCGGTACGGTGCAGTGTCATTCATTTTTGGTCCATTGCTACCAAATTTTGAAAGTGCAGTCATCGTGTGTGTCTTCGTTTTTCTTTCTAGAAACAATGTGATACATTCTACTGGTTGATTTCTTAATGCCGAGGTCTTTTTAGCAGTTGTACGGTCCATTCTATACATACTTTACTCATAAAATGATTAAAAATTAACCAGCATTCCTATATATGTTATTTAAAATTCATATATTTAAGAGGTTTTACGCACCATCCCTTCTGTTTAAACAGAAGTTTAGACCATTTTTTTTTTATTTTCACTTTTTTGGCCCCTTAAGGCAAAATGTCAATTCGACCGAAAATAATAAACAGTGTACAAGTTATATGACACATCAAATACCTTCACAAATGTCGTTTGAACTCCACGTCACCGTTATGTACAGAAATGAGCAGTCTCCAACGTAGTAGTTAAGTTCAAAATATAGACCATTGTCTGAGTTATTTTTCCAAAATATTCCACATCTTTCCCATGCTTGGTAGATTTGACTTTGCTCTATTTGTGCCAGCTTCGAGTTCATAATACCCGGGTATGGATATCGAGCCCGTGTCTCTATCATTAAGATGAATCAATTTAGCCTGCATGAAGATAGTTCTTTCCATATACCCCTAATTTGAAGGTTCCGAGTAGTGCACTAGTATTTGTTGGCCAGTACCGTTGCCTTTCATTCCCTTCTCGTGCTCATTGACATCCTCGATACTCCAGTGGTCAAATTTACTTTCGCTCTCTGAACCCTTTGAATATGTCGCACCGCCTTGTGGATGAGACAAGAAGACTAGTTTGATCTTTTGATGAACATCAAAAGAATCTGTCGGTCGCGTAACGGTAAAATTGTCAGACTTGGAAGTCGGGAGTCGCTCCTCTGTAATCTTCAAAGGACAGGTTTCAGCCTTAGCGCTTAGTCAGTTTGTTTTTACCTGAGACCAATCAAATAACTAGTCGTGTGCTTTCAACTTTGCTATGACATATTCCTGGGGTGCAGAGAGCGTATAAATTAAGTGAGCGTAACCACTAGCACCCGTTCCGTCCCTTGTACTGCTATTAACTGCAATGTCCCTTTGACTACTTTTAGTGCCTTATTCTGAACTCCTTCCAATTAGCTGCCGTTATCCTATTAGCTGGACTCGTACTGTTGACGTGTCCGTAATATCAGCAGGATAAACTGGTAAAGTAGGGTAAACTGTCTTGAGTAACATAATGTTTGCGCCTCCATTGAGCAACTGATAAATATCAGTCATAAAAGATGATATCACTTGGTTAAAGGGAGACAATCCAATATCATGTGTAGTTCTCTTACAGGAATAAATAATATAAATAGATAATTTGTATGATTCTAGCATAAAACAAATTACAAGTTGTATTGGTATAGGAAGTATTCAGTGTTACTTTTATCGTACTCGAAATTATATTTTTGATTAACAAAAAATAAGTTACTAAAATAAGTATCTAATTTTTCAACTTGCATGCTGTGCATTTGGGACATGGGAGATAACTCTTACACTTATCCGCTACGTTTCAGGCATATATGATTTGTCATAAGTAGAATAAGATATTACAAAAACTATATTTGAACTGTAAAATATTTGACTCAGCATTGGTGGTGAAACTAATCTGAAATACCATGATATGTGGCACAATCTATCTTACGGTTTTTGAAACATGTACAATATTTCATTCAATTTTACAGCCAGGTTAGGATCGTGTTTCAAAAAAATTAGGAAATGGTGAAAATACATGATTTTTAAAGAAAATTCTCAGGCTGTGGGGGGTCTTCAAGCCCCCTCCCCCAGCCCCCCTGGATCCGCCACTGCTCAGTTATTTCTGTTTATTTAACTACTACATATCGGTGATGTTTGTAGTTCAGACATTGGTGAAGGTATTTAATTGTAAGTAAAAATCTGCAACTGAAATTGAAAGATATATTTGACCCCTGTGGCCCTGGAAAGAGGGTCAAGGTCATTTCCCACAAACTTTGTTGGGACATATCACAGGAAACTACAATCCAAATATATTATGACTACTAGCCTTCTGGTTCTTCAGAAGAAGTCGTTTGTAGTTTTTGCCATATTATTTTTTGCAATTTGTTGAGCTCCATCCAGAGAGCTATCGGCTGTTAACAGGTTTAAGGTGGAGTTGACGAACGCAGTATGGCGACAAAACCAACCTGAACTTTGTAATTTCATAGATGAAAATAGACGCCTAAAATAAAAGTAACTTAATACTCATAACCGACGACCACTGTCAAACTAAAAACAACATAAACCAAGAAATCAAATTCACAATCAATTTATTGCTGTGTATATCGTCGTTGTTCAGTTTTTGAAAATGTTTCTTAAATTGCTCAACGTATTTATTGTTAGCTGGTTCACTTGAAGTACTAAAGTACTATGTTAGCTGGTTCCCTTGAAGTACTTACTACTTGGTTGACGTACGATTGTAACGCGTCGGTCATCCGGGCATTTGCACAATAGAACACGCATTCCATGGTGAACATGGAGTTTCTAGCAGACTATGGCGAAGACGCTGAGAATTCCAGCAACAGTCTAACTGAGAAGAAAGGAGAGACAGTACGTGTTAAAATAATAACCAATTTTATTTGACCATCATATTTTCAGAGTGTGTGTGTCTTGTATGGGTAAAATAATGAAAATATATAACCGGGAAGTTTTACAAAATGGCTGACTGAATTTTATGCCAAAATAAGGCACGAAGATCACATTATTCTAGATCGAAATGCAGAGTCAATCATTTGTTAAACAAAATCTATACGATTTAAAAGGTATGTTTAATAAATATTATGGCATCATTGAACGAAAGAGAAATTCGCAACCCTTGTACTTGCACCACGATTTTCGCTTTGGGCCGAGCACAGGGGCACGAATTCCAAAACTACTATTAGTATTGATCTTGTTAGGCTTTCAGTCGCTGGGTACGATATATCCCAGACAATATTAATAGTAGTTGCGTGACCATGTGGGCCGAGCTATCATCTTGATACCAACATAGTACTGACGTTTCTATGAAGATTTAATTTACATTGTATACGTCGTAACGACGGGAGAGATAATACATGTTACTTATCTTTGGTTAGCTATGCCCAACTAATTTTTTTTAAACCAAAAGTGATTTATTTCTTGTCATTTTCCTAGAGACTACCATAACCTGATTACAAAACAGCAATCAGAACCATGTTATCTTCAAAATTGGATTTTTACGAATTTTTTGAAATCGTGAAATTTCACAATTGTTTTTTAGCATTTTCCTGAAAACAATCAAAAAAGCGTACAAGGTCAATAACATGGTAAATATGGGAGAATTTGTTTTCTCTTTTTTTACCACAATTTCAGAACCAATCTATTCTATTGTAAAATGAAAGATTTCCATGCTAAATATCACCCCTCACTCCGGAGATGATGCTAAAATGTTACTTCACAAAGAGTTACCTCCCGTTATATATAATTACAAAACACAATAAATGGCATTAATAATCTCATTTAATTATATATATTGATGCACCAGTCTCAGTGGTAATTACACATCTTCTTTCTTATCGTTCGCCTTTACACTTGAATACCAGTCTCCTCAACAAATCTGGTGGTCTTCTGTGCTAAGGGCATCCACTGGTCCACATAGCTTTTCTTTGAGTGGTAAC